TTAAACTAACTAACCTGGCTGTTAGCCTGGTTTAAACTAACTAACCTTCCTGTTAGTCTGGTTTAAACTAACTACCCTTCCTGTTAGTCTGGTTTAAACTAACTAACCTTCCTGTTAGCCTGGTTTAAACTAACTACCCTTCCTGTTAGTCTGGTTTAAACTAACTACCCTTCCTGTTAGTCTGGTTTAAACTAACTACCCTTCCTGTTAGCCTGGTTTAAACTAACCACTCTGGCTGCTCTGTGTAATGACTGTTTGATTGATGCTTCTCGTGGTTTCGTCTCGCGTCACCTCCTGTTTGTTTGTTTGTTTGTTTGTTTGTTGTGACAGCGTCCACCAGAGCCACCGACCGCTTCGAGCACCTGTACAAGGTGAGCTTCGACAACGTGTCGCTGTACCTGCAGAAGAAGCAGCAGAGACTCGACGAGCAGCAGAAAAGAACCAAAGCTCAAAAACCATCTGGCAACAAGAGACCAAAGACGGGGACGTCCAGAGCTGAGGTCCAGACGTCGTCCTGAGTGGACGCCACACTTTGAGTTGTTCAAAAGACTTGGGTTTATCTAAAGTTCTGGTTTGTATTTTATTATTTAAAGTCGTTGAGTTGAAGATTAAACTGATTTTCTTTACTCGCACCACTAACTAGTACTGTGGGTCATTATTGTCCCCGTCATGGAGACAAGAGGGGACATGGGAGACACTCTGTCCCTCTGTACGTCCGCGCATGTTGTCAGCACGATAACGTGAACAATGGTTTTTGGTGTGTGGAGGTGTTCAGGTGTGCAAAAGGTTCCATTCAAAAGTTGAGTTGTCACATCAAAATTAAAGATGGCCGCCAGCTTAGATGCGTGTAAACAGACCACCCCTGTCATTTGAGGAAACAGCTTCTAGTGTGTTTATTGTCTAGAAGTACATTTTCCTACAATGATGGGGTGGCTAAACATTAATCTATGAGGGCAAGGCCACCATTGACTCCCCCCACCTGCACCAGCAGAGAAACTGGGAACACGGGGCTCACAAGGCTCTTCTGAAGTAGATGGACGTGTAAAAAGACCCACGACGTGTTGGTGCGCTCGGCGCCACAACCTCATTTTTGTGTGGTGGCGTTTCTTGGACTTCTTCTCAGCAGCACCCGTTCCATCCTTTGTGTAAACCGAGGTGAAGGCTCGGTCACTGAAACATCTGAAGTCGTGTGGAAAAACATGCAAACACTTTATTCTAAACTCATCCTTTTATTTGAGGCTAAAAGTTGAAAAAGTTAAAAACATCACAACATTTGAAAAAATGGAATTACATTAAGCCAAACAGGAAGTTTTTATTTTTTTACTTTATTAACAGCATAAAACCGAACAACAACAATACACAGTACATCCTGATGCACGCTCAATAATCCAGGTAGAAAATGTAAAAAAGTTCAGTCAGGTCCTCTGGAGCCTCCAGGTTCAACTGTCCCCCTCTTACAATGCTGTGATTGCTAGTATCACTCAGCCCTCTGTGAACAGTAAACAGCCATCAGGTGCTAATGATCCATTGTTAGGCTGATGGTCCTTCTTGAGCATGTGATCAGCTGGTTCTGGTTGTCAGCAGCAAACTGGTTGATCCACTCTGAGAAGGTGCTATTTAAGAGACTGAGCTGAATACAGCACCTCAGACTGAGGAAGTCCTCAGGATGAGAGACGAAACGTTTCTACACTTTTTGTTGTTTTTTGAACATCCAGAGGACCAGACTTAACTGTTTTAGAACGTACAGTACACACATCTCCGTTGTGTCTGTGCTGTACGTTGTTCTGTTGTTTGGTTTTATGCTGTTAATAAAGTTTAAAAAAATAAAATATTCTGCTTTGGCTTAATGTGATTCCTTTATTTCAAATGTTGTTCATTTACACCTTAGGGCCACCGTGGAAGAGGAATCCAGACGTTTGTTCCAGCGACGCGTCAACCGAGTCTGATTTTAACTAATTCCGTTTTAAACAACAAAGTCCATGCTCAATAATCCAGGATTACAATCCGACAGTTTTCAGTCAGGTCATCTGGACAGTTTCTTTTTTTGCTGAAACGTTTCACCTTCCATCCAGAAGGCTTCATCAGTCAAGGAAACGCACAAAACTGATACTACTGATTGTGTGTTTCCTTGACTGATGAAGCCTTCTGGATCGCGAAACGTTTCAGCACAAAAAGAAACTGTCCAGACGACCTGACTGAAAAGCGTTTAATCCTGTTTTAGAGCTTCAGTCTGTGTCTGGTTTCAGAGGAAAGGTGCTCAGTTTGTTGAAGAAACACAAAATATAATAATCAGCCTGTTAATGTTTTGTCCGTCTTCTCCTGGAGCGTCCGAGAAGAAAAAATATGACATTTCACTTTTGTAAGTGTCTGTTATCTGCAGAAAGAGTCAGTCCTGGAGACACAGACTCACGGACACAAGCTCAGGATGAAGCTTTCACGTCTGCGCTGTAAACAAAGGTCAGAATGTCAGCAGGTCTGTTTACACTGGAGAAGACGGACCAGGAACCTGAGGATCTACTGCGCTGCCTCGACCCAGAACATAGATGAACTCTTCTGTACCTTCACTTGAAGGTCTTGCACCAGAAACATTCAGGTTTACTTCATCCTCTGTTCAACTGCAGCCCAGAAAAACACTTGTGTCCAAAACTACAAGCGCTCTCTGTTCCAACCCCTCGGAGACGAGACATCGACGTCCCGCTTATTAAACTTGACTCAGCCGTGTAGTCTGCTTCTCCTCCTGCTGGGGGTTCTCTGGGAACTGCCTCTCCCCACACTTCATGCATGTCAGGCCAAGGCCTCCCTGGCTGAATAAATCTATGATGTCAGTGCGACTCGCCCGATTCAACAAGTTGAAGTTTCATCAACGATAAAACTCAGAGGGAGAGAGAAAGAAGTCCAAGAAGGAAAAAGCTTCAAGCAGGAGCTGTTTTAAACAGAACTCCTCCGTCTCTCATACTTTTAACATTCAACACAAGAAGCGTGAATTTGTTCTCCACAATAATCCTAAACCTTTATCTTGTTGTTGTTGTTGTTGTTGTTGTTGTTGTTGTTGTTGTTGTTGTT